AACAAACCAGATAAATTGTACATACAATAGTCAGTCTTACAATTATGAGATATCACGAATTATAAAAGTCTTCAACATTATAAAATACTTTTTCAAGAAGAAAGTTTTTCAATTTATTTTTGAATAGAATGTCATTCAGATTCACATCTATCAAATCTCTTATTTTATTGAAACACTTGATACCAATATGCTTTGGTGAATTTTCACAGACTGATAACCTTGAATAGGGTTGTCGAAGTTTTTCTTTATTCCTAGTATTATACATATGAGTGTCTTCATTCCTCATTAGTTCTTTTTGGTTACGTTTTATGTACATAATCAGTTCAAGAATATATAAACATGGAAGGGTTAGTATTTGGAGATTCTTGAATAAAGGTTTACATGTTGTGGTTGGATGAGCATGACAAATCGTTCTTATTATCCTTTTTTGAGATACAAATGCCCTTTCAAAGTGACAAGACGACCCCCAGAAGATCACGCCATATTGTAGAGTAGACTGTACCATCCCAAAATAACATAGTCTCAAGATGTCTGCTGATACAGTATCTCGCAGATTTTTTATTATATAGCATGTAGTGCTTAGTTTCGAACATACAGTATTTATGTGTGCTTCCCATGTTAGCTTACTATCCAAAGTAACACCTAAGAACTTGATGATTTCCATAGATTGTATAGATTTACCAGATAAGGTTAAGTATAGGTAATAATTTGGATTCATGTTTTTTGGCAAGAACCGGACATTATTTGTTTTTTTTTTATTCAGGTTGTTAAGTGTGTTGGAGCGATTTCCTATATAATTGTTTGGGCAGGGACATGAAATCTTTGAAAGTTATAAGAAAAGTTTGGGAATCTTCACTGACATATCAGCTGCATTTGACTGTGTAGACCACCAGATTTTATTATTAAAACTGAACAGATACGGGATACGTGGTACCTGTCTTAATTTCTTCAAGTCATACTTATCTCATCTTAGCCAAGCAGTAGTTGTTGACAATGTCATGGGTTCGTATATGTCTGTAACGAGAGGGGTGCCCCAGGGTTCTGTACTGGGACCACTCTTATTTCTGATATACATAAATGATATGCCAGATTCCATATCCTGCAATAATTTACTAACAAATATGTTTGCCGACGACACAACTTTCTGTATACAACTTGAAAAGGGGACTGATCATTTACCTATTTATCAAGATATTATGCCACATGCTAAGATTTGGTTCACAGCCAATGATCTTTTTTTGAATGAGACCAAAACCCGTTGTGAAATCTTTAGTGTAAATGGTACAAATAGTTTGGTTGAAAATGAGCACATAAAATTTCTAGGTATAGTTTTAGACCCACAACTGAGGTGGACAGCCCATATAAACTGTTTATGTAACAAGCTGTCGCAAGTGATATTTGCACTAAGAAAAATACGACATGTCACAAACATAGAAGCAACAGTATCTGCGTATTATGCATTGTTTCATAGTCACTTGATGTATGGAATACAGTGTTATGGTAATGCAGTATCTACACATATTACGAGAATTTTCACATTGCAGAAAGCGGCAATAAGATCTATTTTAAATGTACCATGGGATACCAGTTGTAGAGAACTATTTCCTTCATTAAAAATCATGACCATCTACTCACTGCTCATTTATCAAAGTATAATAACAGTTAAGTCAAAGATAAATGAACATGCAACACACTCGTCAATTCACCCTCATGATACCAGACACAAACACAATTTGTTGGTGCCATTATGTCGTCTGCAACGAACGCAAAGAGACGACATACGGCTCTTCAACCTTCTTCCCACAGAGTTTAGGAATAGACCCTCGACGCAATTCAAAAATCAATTAAAACAGATACTATCAAATAACTGTTTCTATAGTATACTTGAATTCGAAACATTCATCAAGAAAAACAGAAATATCTTCATGACCCACAGAAACCTGTAGTTTTATTTATACTGATAGCACAATTCATCATTATCTATATACATACTTTATATATTTATAATGTATAATGCCATTGTTTTTATGTATTATTTAGCTTTTCTATTGCGTTATACCTTCTATTTTTTTATCATTAACCAATTTTAATGTATGACCTTATATAAATTTTTAAATGTATTTTTCTACTGACCTGTCTACAAACTTTATGTTTCTTGAGACCAATAAAAATTATTATTATTATTATTGTGAAATATGGTGTTTTTGGACCAGAATTTGAATTGTATTGTTTTTTTCCAGTTATAAGCGAATCCTTGTTTTGATCTCACACTCACAAGATTTCCTGAACGGCGTTTGCACAAATATAATTCATATTAATAAAAAAAGGCTCAAATACTATACCGGTAACTATGATGCCTTTGTGAAAACTAGAATGGAACTCTTGGAAAATCAAATGAAGCAGTATAACTGGGAACAGGATCAGATCAATCATATGAAGGTAAGAAAAGAGATTGAAGAAACGTTTGAGGATAAGATTGACTGATAAAATACCACAATGTTGATCCTCTAATGAAAAACTTTCGGTTTTAGAACTACATCGCTAGATTCGGTCACGGTTCAGCAAAGCTTGCTAGGCAGGCACAGTCTAAGGAAAAAACATTGGCTAAGATGGTGGCGCAAGGATTGACAGAAAAAGTGACCAGTGATAAATTAGTTACCTTCTATTTTCCCAGCTGTGGCACTATCCCACCTCCTGTCATTATGGTACAAAATGTCAGTTTCAGGTATAGCGATACCACGCCTTGGATATACAGAAATTTGGAATTCGGTATAGATTTAGATACCAGGCTTGCCCTTGTAGGACCCAACGGGGCTGGAAAAAGTACCTTGTTGAAGTTATTATACGGAGAGGTATGGTACACTAGGGAGGATAACGAATAAAGAATTAATTACTATATTTATACATTCCCAATAAAAAAAGGGAAACATGGAAAACCCGCACTTCCTAAAGATTTTCCACGTTTTTTTAGCTAACACCAACAGAAGGCATGATTCGGAAAAATTCACATTTACGAATTGCTAGGTATCACCAACATTTGCACGAGCTTCTCGATTTGGACCTGTCTCCTCTTGAATATATGTTGAAAGAATTTCCGGAGGTGAAGGAAAAGGAAGAAATGAGGAAGATCATCGGACGATATGGTTTAACTGGAAGACAACAGGTATGTTCCCTTTTATTTTCTTACATGTCCTCTGAAAAAAAAACTACTATGTATAATGTGAGAGTTTCCAACTAAAGGTATAAAATATTATAACAACTCTTCATCTCCAATGCGAAAGAAAATTAAAATCATTATTATTAGGAAAAAAAACTAAGATCATGCAAAAAGGGAAGGTAATGTAAGATATTTCATTGAAATTTTGATCAGTTGGGTGAATTAATCCTTGCTGGAATTTGAATAGACAAAACAAATTGTTTAAACAAGATTTAGTGACCCAATAATACTATAAATATCTTCTAATACTGGATATATTTATCACCATTGGTATTTTAAAATTATTTGCTAATAGAAGATATGTAACAACAATTTGGGACTGTTATTAATACCCTTCTTATATTATTACAATCATCGAAGCCTAAAATATAGATGTCTCTACCAAATGATGCATTAAGAATGAATCATTCACTGTTCAAATTCTTTGCCTTTGGAATCACTTGTAGGCCATAAAATTTGGTGGGTAAATATGCATGAGCTGACACCCAGTTTTAGAAATAGAGCTGCAGAAACACATTTTTTAGGTCGCAGAAGAAATTTGGGTCTGCGAAAAAGGAACTTGCACGAAATGGAAAGGAGATATTCTGTCTTACAAGGAACACTTGAAATCAAAGATTTTAAAAGAAGCATCTAAACGAAAGTAATCTTCCATCTAATTCAGTAGCGAAGTATTTTTTCTAGAGGTTGGAGCAATATATCTGGTTTGTTGTGTGGGGAGTTAACAAGATGAAACTCCCCATAAGTTTCTCATTAACTTTTGTAGAATTCAAATAATCAAATAAAATTAAATCACAATTCGAAAAGAACCCATTGATATTGTATGAATGAAAATTTTAATCGCTAGTTTGTTGTGCACATTAATTTATTTAAATCGATTAAATAGTAATTAATCTCTCTACAACATTCTGAAATAGACATTGGATTCAAATGTGACCAAAATTTTGTATGTTTCAGATTATACAAAATATTTTGTTTGTACTGGTATTGTCAACTGTGATATGACTACCAACATATTAAAAATAAATTTACAATTCCTAGGTGAATTTTTTTAACTCAGACAGAAAAAATAACATCAGATAAGAGATATATAATATGTGAGAGAAAGAGAACAAAATCTGTTCTTCCTAAATCAAGTGATAGTCACCAGGAACCAACATTTTTTTATGTAAATGGAATTCTAAAAATGTACCCTGTTTGAATACATATATAAAACAAGAATAATCTGAATTGCATTCAAAAATAGCAAATGGATTCAAGTTATAATAAAAAATATACATTTTGGGACACATTATTCTTTGCCTTTTATGTGATATTTTCAGGTCATCAAAATGAAAAACGATCTCGATGATAAACTACATGTATTTTTAATATAAATTCACCACCCATCACAGGTGAAACAAAACTATCCAAATACAAAATATGCAAAAATACCCATCATCAATAATATAATGGGCAAACCTTGTCAATAAATGCAGCCATAACAGTTGCATTACCAGATCATTTTAGGGATGCTTTCAAATAATTCAACACTCAATTTGAATAGGAATATATGATGCCAAAACTTATAAGATTTCAAATTTTCTGCCGGTGGAATATTTGTCTACTGAATCTAATTATCATTTTGAAATACTACTGTAGGCATATATATAATTTAAAGTCCAGGATGAACTGCATTTTATGTTTTCAGTAGTTCGACTTTGAAGCCATTTTCAAGAAGCTGTCATCACTGAGGTCTCAATCTGCAATCTGCCTACTCCTTAGGTCATGATACGCTGCAAGGGTTTTGTGTTCTCTCTCTCTCTCTCTCTCTGTTCACCTGTTTTGATATGGTATTCATGTCCCTGTACGTGTGGAGGGGAAGACCGGTAGTGGGAGGGTTTGTTGAAATTGAAAAAAGTCCCAACTGTTTCAACAAACAAGATGATTCACAAAGATCACCTCATTCATGGAGATCATTACTGTCACGCTTTACATCTCACAACATTGGGAAATAAATACCATTGAGACATAAATACCAGACCAGAACCGGTGGACCGACAGTCGCTTGGGAGTAGGCAGATTGAGACCCTTGCCGGGACCTGAGGAGTAGACAGATTGTCCCCAGGTCTCCCTAGCGTTTTTGCATTCGCTTAGTTAGTTTTTTTCTGCATAAACATATAGCATAAACGAAACTCTTTGGAATCGATACAAGAAAATTACAATATTTCACTTGACTAGTTTTCGTCTAGCTTGCATTCGTCAATTTGTATCTTTCTGAAAGTAATGTCATGTGAGACGGTCTGAAAGTAGTTTTCAAGCAGTTTTTAACATAAAATTAACTGTTATAACCAGTAAAACTTTTGTTACACTGGAATAAAGTACTTTTATGGAATGTTTTTTAACCTTTAGTGGCACCTATATTATAATAACCCCAACAAGCAAATTGTAATAATTTTAAAATTCTATGTAGTTCTTAACAAAATACATACATGAATTGATGGGTTAAAATTTGACCTACTTGACGGCTGAAAAAAATTAATCATTTTTACTCACTATCATATGACTATCCATGTCCTCTAAAGATTGGTCAATCCACACAAGCCCACCCCTTTCTTTTTGTCCACACTCGTACTTGGCAATAAGAGCCAAATGAGTAACGGCTAATGTCAAAGCAGCTGCTCGAGCTTCCAACAGTCTTGGATCTAATGGAGGATACATACTCCTCACCATGTCATCCACTCGACTAGAAATTCTCTTAGCACTCTAAAAAACAAGCAGGTTCTAGTAAAATGAAATCTATTTAGAAAAATAAAATACTTCTGAAAGTTACATGGAACTATTTGAATGCATTTTCTGAAGTAAAATGCCTTTTAAATTACACAAAAGTTTCGCACCAAATACAATTTATTGAATGATATCTAAACAAAAAGATGTACAATACTGATGCAGATATTAAATTATTTGAAAATGTTTCCGGATTTATTCTTTTACTGCTGATATTTCTCAATATTGAAGGAGCATTTGCTGTACCTACATCTAAAGGATCAGCCTTAGCTGAATAAGGCATAGAATCAACCATAACTGGCCTTTTCTTCGCACAGCATCTTTTAAGGACGAGGCCATTACTTTTAGAGTCACCAGGGGATGACCTAAGAGCTAGGTACCATTTCCCCTTCTGTGGTCACTCCTGATGAATGTCCTTGACAGAAGAGAAGTAGACTTGCAAGCTTATGCAGATAACTTGGTCATCCTGGCAATAACCACGTCGGGAAGTGTATGCTTGAGCTTGTTCACAGTTGGTGCAGGACGCGGAATCTAAATGATTCAAGCACACTTTCCTTCAGAGGTGTGAGTTGTTCCTTTTGTAACGAAGGTGAAGTATCTAGGTTTTATCTTAGATAAACTCACATATCTTGTTTTGATCTATAATGCCATGTTTTCAATTAGTTTTTCTTGACAAACTTCATGAATTTATGTGTGTCCATATTGAAAAAATTATTGAATTTTTCTCTCTAAATTACTTTCAAATTGTTTTCTTATTTTATGTAAAAACATATGTATGTGAATATGTATAATTAATGAAATATTATTGTTGTTTCTGAATCAGAAAAATTCAAGTTTTTGCTCTGTTGAGGATATAAACTGGATAAAGTGGTATAAATAGTTTCGAAGTGAGTTTAGCGTATTTGCAGTTCTCCAATAACAACGATTATTATTATTCCTTCCAGAAACGTGATTGCGGAATTACTTTTATAATTACTTTTCGTTCAACGTACTCATTAAATTCACAAATATCTGATCAACAAGTGAAACTGACCTCAACAATTTGTCTGAAGTTTCCAGAAATTGGTGTAGAGTTCATTGCCAATGCTGTCAGTCTCTCTGTGAGATATCTACATGTCTTCAGAATAGCCAAACAATGAGGAATGAGGCCAGTTGCATCATCAATCCATTGTTCATCTGTTAAAATTTCTTCAAAATTCATACTGACTTCTCCTAACTCTAACTCTGGTCTGTCTGGTTCAATTAACTGCTTTTCTGGCCTGGAAATACATTAATAGGTATATAATGTAGAGCCGATTAAGTACCTATCCAATACTGGTTAATAAAAAAAAACAATTATTCATAATATTTCAAAATACCTAAACTAGGATATAGCCATTAGAATCATAAAACTGGAAATGTGAAATAATTCATCAAAAAACATGTTCCTAATTCTATTTTAGGCATATTCTCCGGTAAACATTGAAGAACACTCACTTTGAAAATTCATGGTGAGAATCTAGATAGCTTGCTTTATAGAATAATCTTTGCCTCCTGCATATGACTACTAAAATTATGAATGCACTGACAAAAATTGCTGATAAAACACCAAATGCTATAGCAGCAACCATTTCTGCGTACTCCGGATTCATCTTGGTAGCAAAACCATTCCTGTAATATTAATGAAATTGATAATTTGATTCTAACATATGTGCTAATTTTTCAAATAAACTTTTCATTTAGTGAAGTCCCAACTAGGCTCTTTCTCAAAACAAGATTCACATAGAATGTTTTACTTTTTTTAGTTAATTTTCAGTTCTTACATTGTTACAAGATTTCAATATATTTGTAATATCATTTTACAGACATAAACCATACAGAATAAGGGGAGTTTGTTATTAACTAAGCAACAGGTGACCTTTCAACATTTTTCTTCATTTTTGAAATGTAACCAATCCACAGTAGAGCTTAAGCTCTATTGTGAACTGCGTCCAATCTGTCACTTTCAACTTTCAGAGCAAGATCTTTATGTTCAGATTAAACATTATTTTGAACTGAATACTTTTTTGGTTCCAAAAGTAGAATTTTTAATGAAATGTATTAATATAATAATAAAAATAATAAATAGTCTTTATTTTTATCTTGGTGGAGTTCATTCGACCACTCAACCAGAGTGGTTGAGTGGTAGAATAGAACATATCGAAAATTTTCAAAAATGAAATTGAATTAGAAAAACAAATATTTTATATTCACATATATTCAAGAACATACAGAAAAAACAATTAAAATTATAGAAGGCCTGTTTTGGTTCTCTTCCCAAACTGTTCCTAACAGTTAGGAAACACTCACACAACTGAATCACAGCATAGGTAACAATGGTTACCTATGCTGTGACTCAATACTGAAAATGTTTTGTAAACCTCTTCAGTCCACAACCATCACAACTGTCTCTATTGTCTGGGTAGGTTATGTTAATGACTCCTTGAGCTACCTAGGAAGACTGCAATAGCCTTTTGGACTAACTATTCTGCTGAAGATATTTTCCGATGAGGTCCAGTCCCCTCCAGGGACTCTCATTCGTGTTACAGTATACATGATCAATAAGGCTCTAGACGATTGGTTGAAAATAAATTCGAATTTGAAAGATATTCTCGAATGAGATTCAATTTCATGTTATCAATGGTTGTAATCGAAGATAATATCTTTAATATACATATGATTTCTATATATTGAAAATATCTCTACAAAGATTAAATGTTTCAATTATACAATAGTTAGGAACATACATTGGAATGAGAAACTGAGATAAAATGTAGAATAATATTCAATTCTTGTCATTGCACCAGAACTCGTATACATCAGAAATAGTTTTACAAATGGAAAACTCAAATACAGTCACAGAACAGTGAAATTATGTAATTACAGTGAAATTTGTGATTACAGTGACGACTCTGACGACAGATGACAGGTGACTGATGGCATATTTATAAAGCACATTTATTAAGCACATTTATGAAGTAGGGGGCCCATAATCAAGTGTCGGTTGTGGTAGTTTCGCAAATGTATGTAATACTCGAACCTTGACAACAAATTAAATTCAGGTTATACGCATTTGGGATTATTGTCCTTATACATACTCAGAAAATCATGACTGAGGAAATTGAAACTGAGAAGGATTGTCAATCTAAGTCCTATTCTATTCCTGGACATGAAAATCTTGACGTCTTCATCAAAGTAGGTTTGTTGTTTGATGAAATTATCCAAAATGACTCAATTTTCTTTTCAGGGAGGGTTTAAAATCCTCGTCGAGGCTATTAAAAATTCCAATTCACTTCCACAAGGATCCAACTGGAATTTTTACAATACCCACGATTCTTTCGTGAAAATCATTAACGAGGAGAGTAAAAATATTCTTAAAGCAGCCAATACCATTTTACATACAAATCATGTAGAAGGAAACATCCGTAATCGAGGATCTGAAGAAAAAAATGAACTACTGATAGAAGCAAATGATATGATTCTTGAGAGAGTTGCTAATAACATAGATGAAATGAACGGAATAAAAAAATCAATTGTCGAACCTGTTTTAATCCAAACTGTGAGCGCACAGTTGCCCATAAATGGATCTTGGAATCGTGCTAGTAATGCTACATTTTCAGTTGGTTCTTCTATCACAACAGAGGTTTGTTAACTTGAAATTTAATTTGTCAAACTGACATGTGGTTGACACTCTACTTTTAATATTGTTGAATTTGATTGTTATGTTGAGTACAGATAGAACCTTGGGTAAATTACTATTTTTGAATTGCATTGTCAAAAGTTCCGATTCTTGTGATGAATTCTCCGTTGATCAATATAATTTATAAATTGAAAATCGAATATTATGAATGACGCATGTATTTTTGAAAAAGTAATTATCAGTTTGAAACCTTGATAGAAACCTTTTTGAAGTAATATCCTTTATTTTTTTAAAATCTAGATGTTTTAAATTCAAACGTACACACTAGGTATTTACATTTCGAGTTATATTTTCCATTGTTTTGCTAAAAGAAAACCATTCAAGTATAGCCAAATACCATAATAATCATATACAATCCTACCTATGAACCAATAAGAATGCTATCCCAATATACACTTATAGCCCAAAAGAAAATACGAATATTGATACCATTCACTTACAGCCAAATACCACAATAATCATATACAAACATACATATGAAACCAATAAGTTATGCTATCCCACTACCCACTATACACTCATATCCCGTAAGAAGATACATATAATAATACTCGTATTGATACTAAAAATTATTAATCCTGATAGATATACAATATCTATCTGTACTGTACATTTACTTTTGCTGTAAATGGTTTATCATTTTTATTTTAAACTGTTGCAGAGTTTCTGATTTCTTTATACTCAACTAGTTGCTGTAAAACTGTAAGATAGTATGTTGGTATTTTTTAGGCATTTTTTATATGTTTTAGGAAAACGCCAATAAACCGAGCAATGCTATCAGACTATTGACAGCTAAGAACATTATTCGTCCTCAAACATTTTTCAAAGACAAAATTATCAACAGTAACAAATACCCATGGGAGCCACGTTTGAAGGAGAAACCCAATTCATTGAAACCACTCGCCATATTTTTAGAAGAAACTGAACATGGAGAAGAGTTAGTATGATGTTATAAACTATTCTGTTGTTATTTGTCAAAAAAAAATAGTAGAAACCATTAATTCTATGTTGAATCAAATATTTAACTTGTATACGACACATTTTCAGGTTTTCTCATCCTTATGAATTTGAATTGGAAAGATTCACCCCTTTACCTGAACAACTTCTGAAAGAAACTCCTGCTGTTCCACTTCCTCTGGAAAAAACACCTCTGATTGAAGTGACTCAACCGGAGCAAGTGAACGAGTTAGTCGAAACATTAAGAAACTGCAAAGAGTTTGCTGTAGACTTGGAACACCACTCTTATAGAACGTTTATGGGCATAACATGTCTCATGCAGATTTCTACAAGAGATACTGACTACATTATAGATACTCTAGCTCTTAGGGATAAGCTGCATGTCTTGAATGAAGTTTTCACGAAACCAACTATTGTGAAGGTACCAATTTTGATTTAGAATAGAGTTCCCATATGACAAATTTAGTGAGAAAACTTAACGAGCTCATTACAAACTTCAAACTCCTGAGAAATATTTTAGATATTTCTCACCTAAAGGCGATATATTATGTCATCGTTCAATAACACCTCAAATATGCAATCGTCGTATGGGCAGGTGTGAATAACAACTGTCCTAAATTATGCTTAAAAAGTCGTACATACTTGAACAACAGTGTTCATGGAGAGTCCAAAATTATTGATATCAGACAACTAATTTATTAACAAATGTTGATACATATAAAGATAAACATCAATATCTATTTAAAACACAATCATTCATTTTGACACTAGTTGTTATCAAGGATTACTCAGAAATCTCTGATGACCAAAAAACTTTAGGACAAAGATGTCACCTTTTATGGGTCCTAGATATTATGACTGTTTACTTGCCACCATTAGATGGCAAGTAAACGGTCATAATATGCATGGTCATAACATTAAGTTCAAATTCAAAAAAAAGACATGTACGAATACTAGAATAAGTTATGATTATTAAAGGAAATAATAAACGACTATTCAGAAGTTTAATGAACAATCTCTTGATGAAGTCGTCTAAATGCCATTTTTTTGAATTTTAAATATGACTAATGAAAATATTCCCTCACCCCCTTTTTTTGTATCAAGATGGAGTAGTAGAAAGCCAAAAACTTTCTTTCCCAAAAAAGATCAAGTTCTGAAAAGTATGTATTGAAAATTTTTTGAAGCTTACAGCTTATTGCCATCGAGCCATAGTTAGTCTTGTGGAATCGCAACCCAAATGAAAAAATGCGATTGCTTCTTAAAAATCTTGAGTTAACAGAAAGGCAAAGGTCATCTAAAATAGCTGAACAATTGTAGTGGAAGTTTATTATTTTATGAAGGAATAGAACCATTGCAAGTTTACGTCTGTCCTCAAGTGATAATAAATCTAATACCGACAGCCTCATTTGCGAGGTAAATCCATAGTAGGGTAGGCCAAGTTTCCAAATTATATATTTAGAGAAGCGATTTTGCATTTTTTCAAGACTCTCTTTATGACAAGAATAAAGAGGACACCAAATTACACTATTATATTCCAAAATACTCCGAACCAGTAAAAAGTATAATGTCTTTATAGCATCATATTCTGTGATATGCCGGGTATTCCTCTTGATGAATCTGAGCATTCTGAATGCTTTATTACAGATATTATTGACATGATCAATGAAGCTTAGATCTTTATCAAAAGTAATTCCCAAATCGCATAAACTTTTGACAGTTTGAAGAGTTGCATCATTAATGAAGTAGTTTCCAATGACAGGCTGTCTTATTCTATAAAATCTCAACACATTACATTTCTTAATGTTAACTTTTAGACAATTAGTATCACAGTAGGTACAAAAGCTATCTAGGTCATTCTGAATATATTCAATATCATTGGTAGATTGCACTGTTTTGAAAAACTCAAGGTCGTCCGCATACAGAGAGATATTACAGTGTTTAAACACTGATTTAACATCATTAATAAAGAGTAGAAATAATATAGGACCAATGTGCGAACCTTGCGGAACCCCTGAAGTCACATGAATTGTTTCTGACACACTGTCGGCTATCCTCACATTCTGCGATCTACTGTAGGTTGAATGGAACCTTCCGTCCAAAAATCATTCGTAAGAAGACTAAAGTGGATGATGATGACAATGGTATAACAGTTTTGGGATACCTTTCATGCATTTCCAAATGCTTCTCTGCACGACGCTGAAAGGGAGATAGGTATACCCTACGTGACAATTTGTCGAATTCTTAATAAGCATAAATGGCATCCCTATAAGTTCTACTGTGTCCAACATTTGAAAGAGACTGATTTACCTCGTAGAGTGGAATTCCTTGAATGGTTACTTGTCAAGACTCAAGAGGATTAACATTTCCTTGACAATATCATATGGACAGATGAGGCCAAGTTCACAAAAAATGGAGTTTTCAATAGACACAACAGTCATTATTGGGCGCCAGAAAATCCCCATGTTGT